GAGAGAGAAGAGGACAACAAACGAGGGGCTGTGACAAACTGTTTCGTCGGAGTTTCACCGACTCATCAGGAGGCTGAATATATATATATATATATATATATATATAATATGCAGTAAACCGCGTTCATCAGTGGCCTGACGCTGTAACCAAGGCCCAGGCCCAGCGAGCAGTGCGACCACGCGTTGCTCGGCCTCAGGCCGCTGCAGATGCTGTGTGACCAGGCACAGCAGGGAATTCAAAGGTCAAAGCCAACTGTCGGTCCAGGTACCTCGCCTAGGCCTTTGGTCGTGTGCATTGACTTGTATGTGTGCAGGTACTCAGTCAAACTGGTGGACCAAGGAGGATACAGTTTCAACTCAATCCAGGCCGTCGACGACAATCTGATCTCGGCCATTGCTGACTTGAGGTTGGGGTCCAGACCCTGCCGTCAACACTACATATTGAGTTGACTACCTGGCTTTAACATCTAGACTCTCGTCTGGAGTCTATGCTGACTCGACGCTCTTGCGTCATGCTGTCTTGCTGGCGAGACACTGCTGGGAGGACTGGACGACCGGCGCTCGTTGCTGGTTCGTGGCTTGAGTGTGCTGTGCGACCAGCATGCTGGTTGGCGCACTACTGTATGAGGGGTTGTCAACGTGGCAGATGCCACATGTCATCTTCGTGGCCGCTGCCACGTAGGACTGTTGCTGAGGTGGAAGGCGCTGGGCGCCTGTATTGCTGTTCTACTTGACAAGTACTCGGAAGGAGGATTCAAGACTGTGGTTGGGGTCGTGATACGTACCTGGTGTCTTCAACTTCGTCGTTACACTGCTGCTTGATGACTGGTCTGCTGGTGCCACGTGGCACTGTTGGTCTACATTGTCTTGGATGTCCGGCCCGAAGACTGTGGTTGCGAGAGAGGGATGTTCTCGCTTCGCGACATTATTGTCACGCGTGTTTATTAACACGTTGTCTAGACATCGAGCCCGACGACGCGCGTGATGGACATGGTGATGACGGGCAGGATATTGACTGCCATTGGACTTTGATGCTGACGTGGCACTTCCACGTCCGCGTGGGATATCGAGTGGGAACTTCTTGTCATGTGCTGATGATATCTCGCCGACGAAACAGAGTTGCCGCATTGCTATTTCGCCAGTCAGAGACGAGTGGAGCTAATTGATTGGCTGTTTGAGTACTCGCTGGCCTTGGCGAGATCAAGTGCTGATGTGGCAGGCTTTGATTGGATTTGGGATGCGGCGAGCAGACTTGTGAAGCGCGGCATTGTGGGAGTTCACCTTCACAAACGGATCCGGGTAACAAGAGAAAGAGCGACCAACATTCATTGCTGAAGCCACCCCCCACGATCTTTGATTGGTTCGAAGTGATGACTTGGCGAAAGTTGAGTTGGCATACCGGGGGGGTTGGCCGAAGCAGGCACGACGTGCCTCGGGAAACGATTGATGCATTCCGACGCTGAGAGCGGCACGAGCGGCAGACTTTGGCTTGTGGTGCTTGATTGCTGTCGGGGTGATTAGAGTGCATGCTGATGTGGCTTTGTGGGGAAGACTGACGTTGATTGGTTGTGTTGTCAGTACTTACCTGTTGCCTGGTTGTGCGTGCACACGTACCTATAAATGCTAATGACCTTGGCCTGCTAAGATTACCTGGAAGACAAGTCATCACACGAATAAGAGAAAACGAAATTAGAACAACATATAAAAAAGAAATCAATCAAGAGAATAAGTAATTATTTTTATTTTATTTATTTTCTTGTGAATTATCTGCTTGTACTGACGTTGAGTGGCTGTTCAGCCATCAAATAATATTGTCTGTTTTCTTTTATTGAGTAAGAATTGGTCTGTTAGGTTTCCTATTGATGTTGATCATGGCACCGATTGCTGAGCACATGCGTCAGTCTATTCTGACCCGGTGGGTGCCTCGTTTGTTCGGACCTGGGCAAGTGCCTTATGCGGTGGGAGCAAGTAGCTCCTCGACTGAGCCGCGTACACATGCCCAGATCGAGGCACGAAGAAGTGAACTGGGAGAGCTCCTCTCCCAACTGCTGGTGGATATGGAGTTTGGTGTCCCTGCTGCAAGAGAACACATCCGGGGTAAATTTGACCTTGATGCGATCTCTGATCGTTTGGCCAAAGCTACCATGGGTGTGGAGATGATAGCAGCAGCGATTGAAATCCAGAAGGTTATTGGCCAGTGTCCTCAGATACTGGACCAATTTACCATCCAACAGTTGGAAGAAATAGCTCAGCGAAAGGATGGTGCGCCAGCAGTGAAAGTGGAAAGCATTGAAGAGAACATACAACAGTTAAAGGAGACACTCGCGAAAGAAGAAAAGAAGCGGGAAGAACTGTTGCAAGGAAAAGAACAGAAAACTAAGTTGCAGCAGAGAATGGGTAGAGTTCAGCAGCACGTTTATTTGGATGAGAAGGATGTCGCCCAGACGCTGGGGCAAATACTGACATATCTGGCTTTCCTTGAGGAGAAATTGGACCAACAGCAGAATAAAATGGATGAATTGGCTGTTGGTCTCAACGTTATCACTAACATCGTTAAGGGGAAAGCCCCTTTGATTGAAAGTGAGGAAGAAAAAGGAAACGAGGATAAAAAAAATGACGTCAAGATTGATAGGTTGCGCATCAGCGGAATGAAAGACGACGACGCATCCAAAAAGGAAACGAAAAAGGAACCAGAGATGAAACCGGAAGAGAAACTTGACGGGGATGGTGATGGAAACGGGAATGGGAACGGGAACGGAAATGGGAATGGTGGTCCCAACGGTCCCCCTCCCCCTCCTAAGGACAATGCCAAACCCGCAGATCCGACTAAGCCAAAGAAAAAAAAAAAGGTGAAGATGAAATTGCCTTTTACTTTTTCTAATAAGAAAGAAGAAAGCCTTCCACTCTGGATCGCAGAGATCCAGACCTATGTTGGGACCGCACCGGTAGAAGAAGAGTCGCAAATTGCGTTCACCACTTCTTGTATGGGGGGTGAGGTGAAGCAATGGGTTATGGCGGAAGCAAATGCCGCGGGGTTTGACGATATAGGTGAGTGGGCGAAGACTATGACCTTGAAGCAGTTCCTTGCAAAAGTCAAGGACTGTTTCTTGGACAAGACTACGGCCGATAAGGCCTTCGACCAACTCACCACGATAGGACAAAAGTCCTGGTCTTCAGTTGAGTCATTGTCTCGTGAGGTTGACCGATTGTTGCAGGTTCCCGGTCTTAACCTGCAGGACTCTCAGGTCCTCTACATTTACTCGCGTGCATTGCCCGAACCGATCCGAGGGCACTTGGTCCCCGAGGCCAAGTCCGGTAAGTATAGTTACCGTCAGTTCCGCGACCTGGCGTTGCAGCGGGAACAAATGACTTCGCAAGTCAAAGGTTCCTATGCTGCTGCCGTAAAGAATGAAAGAGGAGGCAGTCAGGATGCATCGGCAAGCGGATCTTATGGCGTCAAAAGCGCCAAGACCACACCCTCGTCGTATTCGACGACGATACAATGGAGAAATGGCCATTGGAGAACGAGGGTGGTGGTGACAGCAGCAGTGACCACGGAAAGGGGGAGGTCACCGCTGCGACGGTCAACAAGGGAGGACCGTCATCGAATACGAGACCGAAGGGGAAACCACGCTCCTTCCCATACCATCCTGGGATTGCGGCCGGCAGACCGTGGCTGAAGATGGGACTAACCCGGGAGGTATGGCAGGATAGAATGAATAATGCGCAGTGTCTCAAGTGTGGCACTGCGGGGCATATCATTGCCTTTTGTCCATTGATTAAGAACCCAAAAGGGAGCAGCCCGTAGGAATAACATTTGTTCCTACAGAGTCGGAGGGTGCGATTACATGTGAGGCGCCCACGATCCCTTTCCACACTCCGACTCCCGTGGCAGAGGATGGAAACCCTTCCGCCTATGCATGTCTCTGGACGACTCCCTTGACGAGTTGGGTGGCGAGCTAGTCGCGTTACGCAGTTCGTGGGCGAAGAAAGCCAAGTCTAAGGGTGAATTGTTGATTGCTGACTTCATAGTTAATCGCACACACGTGGGTGCGATGTTGGACCCTGGGTCCACACGATCTTACATGTCTGAACGTGCAATCCGCAAGTTGCATCTCGGCATGAAGATCCAGACTTTGTCTAAACCGATCACGTCTATGTTGGCTGACAAAAGCACGATGACGGTAACGCAGTATGTCGATCGTGTTCGTTGTCAGTTCAGTACCAAGGATGGGAAGAAGATTTGGCATGAGCTTCCCTTCCTAATCGAGAAGAACATGCCGTTTGATATCATCTTGGGAATGGATTGGCACGAGGAAGCTGATCCCAAGATTGATTTCAAACAGAAAGAAGTAAGAATTAAGGATGAATCGTTTGAGTTACAACCGATTAAGTTGTATCATCGGTCAGGGTCTGATTCTGTCTTGTCTTTTTGTTGTATGAGCTACCTTGCATTCCGATCGATGGTTGCAAAGAAGAAGTTAGAGGATGAGGTAGTAATGTTGTTAGTTAAGAAAGTAGGTGAGTCTTCAACTACCCATCCTCCTGGCATAGATGCACTCCTAACRRAGTTTGCCGATGTTCTGTCTGAACCAACCGGGGTCACTTCGCGTGCTATCAAGCACACGATCGAGATTGTGCCCGGTAGCAAGGTTCCCAAGGGCCCTATCTATCGCATGTCTCCAAGGGAACTTGAGGAACTTAAGAAACAACTATCTGAGTTGACGGAGAAGGGATGGATTCGCCCTAGCTCCTCTCCTTATGGTGCATTTGTCTTGTTTGTGCCCAAAAAGGAAGGTGAGCTTAAGTCTGGGTACCACGAGATCGAGGTGGATCCCGCCGATCAGCATAAGACCGCGTTCCGTACGAGATATGGTCATTACAAGTTCATCGTGATGCCATTTGGTCTAACGAACGCACCTGCGACCTTCCAAAGGTCAATGAATGAGTTGTTTAGGCAATGGCTCGACGACTTTGTAATCGTCTACTTGGATGACATTCTAGTGTATAGTAAGACACTAGAAGATCATCATCGACACCTTCGTCTAGTACTCGGGAAGTTCCGCGAAGGTAACTTCAAACTCAACCCAAAGAAATCCGAGTTCGCTAAATCTGAGGTCCTGTACTTGGGACATATAGTGAACGAGGAGGGATTGAGGCCCGAGGAAAAGAAGATCTCGGYGATCARAGMTTKGCCACAGCCGAAGACTCTGACAGACCTGCGATCTTTCCTTGGATTAGCAAGTTACTATAGGAAGTTCGTTAGGAACTTCTCAGTTATCGCTGCTCCAATGAGAAGATTGCTCAAGAAAGGTACTATCTGGCTGTGGGACAMGGATTGTGAGTCATCCTTTCGAAAGCTGAAACACGCTTTGACCCACTATCCTGTTCTTAAGATTGCCGACCCGTCTCTTCCTTTCATCGTCACAACTGACGCAAGTCGGTACGGTGTTGGCGCTGTCTTACAACAAGACGACGGCAAGGGCTACCGCCCTATTGAGTTCATGTCTAAACGTCTGCCGTGTGAAAAGGTCGCCAAATCCACCTACGAAAGGGAGTTGTATGCATAAGTCTGCGCCCTAGAGACATGGAAACACTATCTCCTTGGCAGACATTTTACTGTGTACTCGGACCACTCGACCCTCAAGTGGATCAAGACACAGCCTCGATTGTCTGACAAGTTGGTGCGTTGGTCTGCTTTCATCGATACCTTCGATTTCGAACTCAAAACTATTAAAGGTAAGTCCTATGTTGTAGCAGACGCACTATCTAGGAGGAGTGATTTCTTTGGGGCTATTGTCTCTTACCTGGATGTTGGGAATGATGTAAAAGACCAAATCCGCGTTGGATATGCCACTGACCCTGTCTGGAAACCAATCATGGATATCCTAGCCAAGGATCCATCCCAACTTCCTCACTATCGATTGTCTGATGGCTTACTCTTCTTGTTGGACCAAACTGAAGAGAGACTGTGCATTCCTCACAAGGAAGAACTTAAAAGTCTATTGATTGGGGAATGTCATGATACAGAGGGACACTTTGGGTTCAAGAAGACGTATGTTGAGGTGTGTGAGCACTATGAATGGAAGGGTTTGAAAGAGCATGTGCTAACATATGTACGTATATGCCAAGTATGTCAGAGAAACAAACCGTCTCTTGAGAAACCTTCGAGTTTACTCCGACCACTACCTATTCCGAGTGAGCCAGGTAAGTCCGTGTCCATTGACTTCATGAAACTCACCAAGTCCCGAAATGGCAATTGTCAAGTGATGGTTGTGGTTGACCGTTTCTCCAAATATGCTATGTTCATACCCTTGCCTGCAGACGCCAAGACTGAGCTTGTGATTGCTAAATTTCAGATGTGATGGGTAACTGAGTATGGGTTTCCTGTGTCTATCGTATCTGACCGTGATGTCAGGTTCACAAGCATGCCTTGGCAGAAGTTGATGGAGGCATACGGTACACGGCTCACCATGTCGTCAGATAGACACCCTGAAACGAATGGACAGTCTGAGCAAATGAACCATATGGTCCAACAACTTTTGAGAATGTATGTCCGTCCTGACCAAGTGGACTGGGACGAGAACTTACCCAAGATTGTCGGTGCATATAACAATAGTGTGCATACCGCAACGGGACACACACCTAACGCACTGCACAAGGGCTGGAAACCTAAGCGTCCCATTGATGTCCTAACTAAGGACCAGTTCCTTAGACTTCCACGTGGGACAAAGGAGTATGCCATTATGTTTCAAAAAGACATAAAAAAGGTGAAGGAAAACTTGAAAAAAACCCAAGAGCGTATGATTGAACGAGCTAACAAACACCGACGTCCGTCTACATTTCAAGTTGGTGACTTGGTCTGGGTTAAGTCCAAAGAATTCACTTTAGAAGAAGATGTTTCTCAGAAACTGATGCCTGTTTATCTGGGACCCTGGGAAGTGCTCAAGGTGATAGGGGATGTAGATGGACCCTCCTACCGGATTGACATTCCCCCTCAACTTTGGACATACCCCGTCTTCCACGCGTCTAAACTACTTCCATATGTAGAAGGAATAGAGTTCCCTCACCGACCATCTGCAATTCCTCCGTCTATGAATGGCAGTTATGTGGTTGAGAAAATTACTGAACATGGATTATTTTCTACTAGTGGGGGAGGCAGACCTCAGAAGCAGTATAAGGTGAGATTCCAGTTCCAATCTGAATCTGAAGACCGTTGGTTTAGCAGGCGGGAACTGCTGGATACTGCTCCTGATATTGTTGCTAGCTATGAACGCGGACTGAAGTCTTAAGTATTTCTGCGGTGGAACTCGAATTCGGGCCGGCAGGAATGCAGTAAACCGCGTTCATCAGCGGCCTGGGCGCTGTAACCAAGGCCCAGGCCCGGCGAGCAGTGCGACCACGCGTTGCTCGGCCTCAGGCCGCTGCAGATGTTGTGTGACCAGGCACAACAGGAAATTCAAAGGTCAAAGCCAATTGTCGGTCCAGGTACCTCGCCCAGGCCTTTGGTCGTGTGCATTGACTTGTATGTGTGCAGGTACTCAGTCAAACTGGTGGACCAAGGAGGATACAGTTTCAACTCAATCCAGGTCGTCGACAACAATCTGATCTCGGCCACTGCTGACTTGAGGCTGGGGTCCAGATCCTGCCGTCAACACTATATATTGAGTTGACTACCTGGCTTTGACATCTGGACTCTCGTCTGGAGTCTATGCTGACTCGACGCTCTTGCGTCATGCTGTCTTGCTGGCGAGACGCTGCTGGGAGGACTGGAAGACCGGCGCTCGTCGCTGGCCGCTGCCACGTAGGACTGCTGCTGAGGTGGAAGGCGTTGGGCGCCTGTATTGCTGTTCTACTTGACAAGTACTCGGAAGGAGGATTCAAGAATGTGGTTGGGGTCGTGATACGTACCTGGTGTCTTCAACTTCGTCGTCACGCTGCTGCTTGATGACTAGTCTGCTGGTGCCACGTGGCACTGTTGGTCTACATTGTCTTGGATGTCCGGATCTCTGATTGAGACACGATTATGCTGCTAGGAGGAGGAAGTGCCCGAAGAGGAAGTGGGTTGTAGGGAGGAGACTCTTCCACCTTCTCAAAGTTTATTCTCCCTCCTCCCTCTCTCGTCTGTGTATGTATTCTCTCTCATTTTGGGATCATTATTATTATGATTTATCAGCAACGTTCGTCTACTTTGTCTTTGTGAGTAACGACTGATTATCACGACTGGGCGCATTGCATATATATATATATGTCATTGTCATACATTGAAATTCACTTGAACGGTACACGCAATGAGACACGGAACGAGAAGGTTGTGAATGACCTCAGATTCTGCATCACACTTCGATTAATTTTGTATGTCACTGAGCATTGAGTCAAACGTATTTTACATGTTATGACATTGTGTCAAGCAGAAATTGGAAGTCAATCAAGAGTAAGTGCAATCACTAGGTGAACGAGATGGTTTACGTATGGATTCCGTCGCATTTCGATAAATTATCATAAACTGACAGAACATTGTATGCATACCATTGGATTTCGTCGCACTTCAAGAAATATCGTAATCATGAAAAATTAAAAGTCGAAAATTGTATGCACACGTGCGAAAAATCGTGAACGCAAAATCGAACTACGTCTAAATTAAACGCAACGAGCCAACTCAAAATTGGACTACATCTAAATTAAATGTCACGACTCACTGTAATCTAAATTTTCTAAAACGCTATCATTTACA